AAGGTCAAAATACAATAATATATTAATAGTCAAATGTTACGAAAGACGTGAAAAGAGTGAGTGAGTTAAAGCTTTACGTCACATCGGCAATATTTCAGCCATATCGTGACGAGCGTCATAAGAAAAGAAAGAACAATGTGTACGAAAGAACGTTTTCAATAAAGAACGTCAGTGAGCACGAAAGGACGTTGACAATAAAGAACGCCAGATGGCGCTGCATTTTGTAAAACATTCCGAGTTTAATCGGCTTGTTCCGCCGTGTATATAATAACTGCATGCCGAGGTGCACAATGTTTGTTTTAACAGCTTTTCGGAAACTGTGTGCGAACAAAATGCAGCCTCATATCTGAACAACAAATATATTTATACCAAATGGATTTGTGTGCATATGTATAACTTACACATTCATTTGGAAAAGTATCTCGCCATAAATAAAGAAAATCGAGTTTCATCTATGACGCCAGCGTTCGTTTTCAAACCATATTTATTTCGCTTGTTTACATCTACATTTTTATTTGTGACAAAGACAACTTGTAAGTTGATGCCGAAATGTATGCGTAAGTCAGGGATGTATGTTAAATAAAACAAACTCTCGCACAACGTTCACTTTTCAGATGAAAATGTGCGTCTGAAACAAAACTCGGCATCATAGCACCCTCGTGTTGCACCAAGCATGAACAGTTATTGGATCACTGTAGATGAATCTGAGTTTAGCGTTAAGTGAGTGTTTTTTGAAGGTTGTATACAAAATACATGTACTAATGTTAGGCAGATGTTGGATTACACAGTATACTGTATTTATGAAAATTAGCGGTGACAAAGCTTAACGCAACATGTTTATACACAATGTGTACATTATACATTATAAATACATGTATATATATGTGTGATGTCAGACGGTGAGTGCACGAGGAATGACGTAATACATTGAGCACCTCGGCATGCAGTTATCATAAAAAAATTATACACGGCGGAACAAGCCGATTAAACTCGGAATGTTTTACAAATTGCAGCGCCATCTGGCGTTCTTTATTGTCAACGTCCTTTCGTGCTCACTGACGTTCTTTATTGAAAACGTTCTTTCGTACACATTGTTCTTTCTTTTCTTATGACGTCTTTCGTAACATTTGACTATTAATATTGTATTTTGACCTTTATTAGTAACATTTAGTTCTTTATTCGTAATATTTTACCTTAATTGCGTATTTTTGTACTTTTTTTAAACTTTGTATTTTTTGACCGAATGGCCGCCAATATCCCTGCATTAATCTGCAAGTTTGAACTAATTTTCAACAAAATATATTTTCAATCAGTACAATATAAGCGCCAAAGCCAGATATTCCAGTCTTGATTATCTACCTAAACAAATTCCATTGGGCTTAAAAGGCAAAATAGTGATCAAACGATATATGAATAGATCACTAAAAATCAGTGATGACAGCAGCTGTTCGCGAAGTTGGTAATACTATACTTGTCCTGCCCTTCCTGTAGCTCCTGTCACTCACATTGTTTGCACAAAAAAGTAAGTGTTTGTAGCCAAGATGTTAAAGCGTTCCTTCGACACACCGATTCCATTCCTTTCCCCCACATGGGCGCAACCATCTCCCCTAGGCAAGAGAGTTTATTGACTTTAAAATCCAGTTTCCACCCTTGCCGAACTAGGCTGGAATTACAGGGCTCGATCATAGCGCCACCAGTGTCTATTACAACTTATGTCCCTTCTAAGCCGCTCCTGTGGACCAATCAGATTCCACCTCTCGTATCACTTGCGTTTGCTTCAAACAAAATGGTGGCGCCCAGTCAGGACGATCTGATAGATAATCAAGATCTATAGTGTCATAAAACGGGCCTTACATCGCGAACTGCATCAAATCACGTGAGCATCTTGATTAAAAACATGAAAAGGTTTGGAAAATATCTGCTGACAACGAGTTGGCGGTGCACATACTTTGCAAACCCTGCAATCGACCGAAATCTTCACGACAGTTTACGAACCGGATTTCGATTTCGGTGCGCGATTTTGACTGGACTATGCATAGACTCGTTAGTCCAGCTAAACTGTAACTCCGTAATACCAGCCTAGTTCGGCAAGGATGGAAACTGGACTTTTATAGTCAGTTAAATCTCTTGCCGAGGGAAGATGGGGTGCAACGTGTGAAGCCAAGTTCTGATGTCCACTGTCGAGATATTGATGAAATCGTCCTAATAGCGGAGTAAAACCTCGCTCACTCACTCACTCAGTAAACTTCATTGTAATGTATTACAGATAAATAAACGAGTGAAGATTGCTGTCGCCAATCCGTTCATGATCTGTCTCCTGGATGTGTTATAGGATCGACTGTGATGTACCGGTTCATTGTGACGTTTGCGTGAACTGTGATGTTTGAGACCATTGTGATAAGTGAGTGAGTGAGTGAGTGAGTGAGTGAGTGAGTGAGTGAGTGAGTGAGTGAGTGAGTGAGTGAGTGAGTGAGTGAGTGAGTGAGTGAGTGAGTGAGTGAGTGAGTGAGTGAGTGAGTGAGTGAGTGAGTGAGTGAGTGAGTGAGTGAGTGAGTGAGTGAGTGAGTGAGTGAGTGAGTGAGTGAGTGAGTGAGTGAGTGAGTGAGTGAGTGAGTGAGTGAGTGAGTGAGTGAGTGAGTGAGTGAGTGAGTGAGTGAGTGAGTGAGTGAGTGAGTGAGTGAGTGAGTGAGTGAGTGAGTGAGTGAGTGAGTGAGTGAGTGAGTGAGTGAGTGAGTGAGTGAGTGAGTGAGTGAGTGAGTGAGTGAGTGAGTGAGTGAGTGAGTGAGTGAGTGAGTGAGTGAGTGAGTGAGTGAGTGAGTGAGTGAGTGAGTGAGTGAGTGAGTGAGTGAGTGAGTGAGTGAGTGAGTGAGTGAGTGAGTGAGTGAGTGAGTGAGTGAGTGAGAAACCCGCGAGTGATTTGCAATTAAAACACATATTTTGTAAATGTTCTCGTAAACACCTAAACTCACAAACAACCAGGTTACAAGTTCGGTGATTAAGGACATATTTCTCAGTGGAAGGTGATAGATAGTGAGTGAGTGAGTGAGTGAGTGAGTGAGTGAGTGAGTGAGTGAGTGAGTGAGTGAGTGAGTGAGTGAGTGAGTGAGTGAGTGAGTGAGTGAGTGAGTGAGTGAGTGAGTGAGTGAGTGAGTGAGTGAGTGAGTGAGTGAGTGAGTGAGTGAGTGAGTGAGTGAGTGAGTGAGTGAGTGAGTGAGTGAGTGAGTGAGTGAGTGAGTGAGTGAGTGAGTGAGTGAGTGAGTGAGTGAGTGAGTGAGTGAGTGAGTGAGTGAGTGAGTGAGTGAGTGAGTGAGTGAGTGAGTGAGTGAGTGAGTGAGTGAGTGAGTGAGTGAGTGAGTGAGTGAGTGAGTGAGTGAGTGAGTGCGTGCGTGCGTGCGTGCGTGCGTGCGTGCGTGTGAGTATGGTTTTACGCCGCTTTTTGCAATATTCCTGCAATATCACGGCGGGGGACACCAGAAATGGACTTCACACATTGTACCCTTTTCGGGAATCGAACCCGGGTCTTCGGCGTGACGAGCGTACGCTTTAACCACAAGACTATCCGACTGCCCCACCATTGTGATGAAGGACATCATTATATCATATACCACACCGTGATGTTTAAAACCAGTGTCGAAGAAAACATCGTGAGATATGCAATTGTAATGCATAACATCGCTGTGATTTATGCAACCGAGTTCCATAGCAACGCCGTGATTTATACACTGTAATCCACTGTGACGTTCTCAACCAGTGGCATACATAACACTACAACACCATTGCCATGTAAAACAATACATTGTGATATTTAAATATAAAGAGACAAAGTCCAAGCTGGCCCCACAGCGTCATGTAAAACAGAGTCCACACTAGTCCATGCCATATAAAACTTTGTGATGCAGTGCCCCGATGGGATTTATGACCATGTGATATGACATTGTGTGGCGCTGTTTGTACGAAAAAGGATGTTCATGTTTTCAAATTTACGGTTTAACGTTTGCGTGAGAAGAAGACATCATGTGAAGATTCCATGTTGTTTATTGTCTATTCACTATTTATGGAAATATAAAACCAGAGAGGTGAGGTGAAATGGGGTTGAACGTCGCGTCCAAGATTATTGCACTTATATAGCGACGTGCATGTGGGTGTGTGTGGCTGCTTGTACTAGTCCGGACTGATGCTGATTTATAGTGCTAGCCCACATAGATACCATACCGCAGTTTTAACATGAATACCCCAATCAAACAGAGTATACTGACTCCGAGCCGACCAGTCCTTGTTTTAGCCCCTTTGTGCCGAGCGACAGACAGGGTAACAACAAGTACCATCTTTTAAAGTCTTTTGGTATGACGCTGTCGGGGATCAAACCCCGGACCTTCCGCTCTCTGGGCGGACGCTCTACCTCTAGACCAAGGAAGCGGTCGAAACCAGAGAGATGGAATACAGATGTGAATGTTGTTTAACGCCGTAGGCAGCAATGTCCATCTATACCAGCCCAATGACTGACGGCATGGGCAACGATAATTGTACAGTGACATGCAATCAGCTTAATCACTAAGTCTGACCAGTCGACCCTCATTCCGGCTGGTGGGATAAGCATGAGTCACATGGGCTTAGCGACATTGGGTGGGAGAATCAGACGGTTCCTCTTTTTCAGGGACGGTGAGCTAGCCAAGTGGCACAAGCGTTCGTTTGTCACGACGAAGGTCCAGGTTTGATTTTCCACATGGATACAATGTGTTAAGTCGGTTTCTGCTGCCACCACTCTGATATAGCTGGAATATTGCTAAAAGCGCCATACTCACTCACTCACTCTTTATATTGATGATGATTTTGGATTTCAAACTGGGTTCCTCTTGCCATTGAAATAAGTACACGAATGTCTTGTAGTCTTTCATTGACGTTTGAAATAACAGGTTTCTTTTATACCCCATAGAGAACCAAAGGAAACCAAGGGGAAGTCAAGGGAAGCCGGGGGAAGCCGGGGGAAGCCAAGGGAAGCCATGTCAGGCCAAGGGAAGCCGGGGCAAGCCAAGTCAAGTCAAGTCAAGGGAAGCCAAGGGAAGCCAAGGGAAGCCAAGGGGAAGCCAAGGGAGGCCATGTCAGGCCAAGGGAAGCCGGGGCAAGCCAAGGGAAGCCAAGGGAAGCCAAGTCAAGTCAAGGGAAGCCAAGGGAAGCCAAGGGAAGCCATGTCAGACCAAGGGAAGCCGGGGCAAGCCAAGGGAAGCCAAGGGAAGCCAAGTCTAGTCAAGTCAAGGGAAGCCAAGGGAAGCCAAGGGAAGCCAAGGGGAAGCCAAGGGAAGCCAGGGGAAGCCAAGTTATGGCAAGGAGAGTATGTTCAAGCCAAAAATGAAGGTTTCTTTGGAGATACTTTAAATGAAGAAAATACAAATAGGAAACGTCAACAGGTGACTCAGCATAACACCACTGCCACAGGCTAATTTGCATATCACAAACGCGATTTTTCAGAAATCAGTATAGACTAATGCAAGGAGCTGGGTGGGGGGCTTTACATATTGTTTTGCATAATTATATAGATATGCTACTACAACTGCGACAGTGAGTTGCATGACAATATATATTTATACATCAAAGTGACCGTATCGCTAGCTCTCCGTTTGGCTTCGATGACAGCACGTGGAGCCGTACAACCAATGTAAACAAAGGATAACTACGCAAAAATAAGTAGATGTTCACGTATTAGGATACTTTCTTAATGAACCGTAACCATTCTTTGACATTTGTTTATGAAAATGTGTAGACTTGTCAAACATGAAACGGATGAAAAGCATATGGAATATCTTGAATGGACTGTGAAAGATGTGACGAATCGTCACATGGCGCTGGCCTGTGGCAGAGGTACTGTGCTGGCTGGCTGCCGGCCGCATGGAACTCTGGGTAGGAGAGTGGTATGTTTCCTATATGGAGGCACACAAAGAGAACATCAATCATATTTCCTATTTTGTGTTTGTTTGTTTGTTTGTCTGTTGTTTAACGCTGCACTCAGCAATATTCCAGCTATATTCCGGTCTGTAAATAATCGAGTCTGGACCAGACAATTCCGTGATTGATATCATGAACATCGATCTACGCAACTGAGATACGATGACATGCATCAACCAAGGCCGCGAAACAGACCACCCGATCCCGTTAGTCGCCCCTTACTTCAAGCATAGTCGCCTGTTACGGCAAGTATTGGTTGCCGAAGACATATTCTACCCCGGATCTTCACGGGTCTGCTATTCTGTGAAAATCTTGAAAATCTTGAGTAAATGGTATTCTGGCCAAACATTATCGAGTCCTAACAGTGAAAGCCTCTGTTCTTCAGAACAAATTCCTGATGGAAGTGTAATTTAAAATGCCACATTCCCTTATAAACTACTTAGCTGGTTTCCGACAGCAATTCCGGAAGGGACGTCAAGACATATTGAACTTGTCATGCGTCGGGATAAACTCATCTAGGACACAGTAATGCACTGTAAGGAATACTATTCAACAGATGTTTGGCACTTATGGTGCCACAAGGGATACCAAGGGTTTTGCAGACCATTTGCTAAAGACCCGGTGTATTAATGGATAAATAATCGATGTCAAATAGAGCTTATTTATGTACTTCTTTAATGACTTCCTTTATCTCAACACACGAACTTTCATTTTCGGTTAGTGATTTCAACGTGACGGTATCGCAGTATGTTCCTGCTATTTTTAAAATAATCTGTACCAAGGTTTTGCATCGAAACTGTTCCATACATGTTGGATGCCCTGAACATGTAAGTTGCGATATAATTAATTATTTGACTTTTCCTTTCACTGACCATAATAAAGACCCAATTGGAATCGCATTGATCTATATTACGCCTCTCCATTGACTTGCCACAATGTCTTTCGAGAACACCTGGTGTCATCACTGATTTTCAGTGATCCATCCATACAATTTTCATTGCAATTTTGCCTTACACCTTCTGGTGAACTTATCAGGATAACTTCACACCTCTTGATCTTGTCGGGATAATCGCCTTCTGTTCCTGTCGGGATAATCTTACACCTTCTGATCCTGTAGGGATAACCTAACACCTTCTGATTTTGCCCTGATAACCTCACACCTTCTGATCTTTCCCCGATAACCTCACACCTTCTGATCTTGTTGGGATAACCTCACACCTTCTGATTTTGTCCCGATAACCTCACACCTTCTGATCTTGTTGGGATAACCTCACACCTTCTGATCTTGTTGGAATAACCTCACACCTTCTGATCTTGTCGGGATAACCTCACACCTTCTGATCTTGTTGGGATAACCTCACACCTTCTGATCTTGTTGGGATAACCTCACACCTTCTGATCTTGTTGGGATAACCTCACACCTTCTGATCTTGCCCCGATAACCTCACACCTTCTGATCTTGTTGGGATAACCTCACACCTTCTGATCTTGTTGGGATAACCTCACACCTTCTGATCTTGTTGGGATAACCTCACACCTTCTGATTTTGTCCCGATAACCTCACACCTTCTGATCTTGTTGGGATAACCTCACACCTTCTGATCTTGTTGGGATAACCTCACACCTTCTGATCTTGTCGGGATAACCTCACACCTTCTGATCTTGTTGGGATAACCTCACACCTTCTGATCTTGTTGGGATAACCTCACACCTTCTGATCTTGTTGGGATAACCTCACACCTTCTGATCTTGCCCCGATAACCTCACACCTTCTGATCTTGTTGGGATAACCTCACACCTTCTGATCTTGTTGGGATAACCTCACACCTTCTGATCTTGCCCCGATAACCTCACACCTTCTGATCTTGCCCCGATAACCTCACACCTTCTGATCTTGTTGGGATAACCTCACACCTTCTGATCTTGTTGGGATAACCTCACACCTTCTGATTTTGTCCCGATAACCTCACACCTTCTGATCTTGTTGGGATAACCTCACACCTTCTGATCTTGTTGGGATAACCTCACACCTTCTGATCTTGTCGGGATAACCTCACACCTTCTGATCTTGTTGGGATAACCTCACACCTTCTGATCTTGTTGGGATAACCTCACACCTTCTGATCTTGTTGGGATAACCTCACACCTTCTGATCTTGCCCCGATAACCTCACACCTTCTGATCTTGTTGGGATAACCTCACACCTTCTGATCTTGTTGGGATAACCTCACACCTTCTGATCTTGCCCCGATAACCTCACACCTTCTGATCTTGTTGGGATAACCTCACACCTTCTGATCTCGTCTGGATAATCTCACGTCTTCTGATTCTCTCATCCGTTTCAAAACAAGGAAAGTCGATGAATCTTTTCGGTAACACGTAGAACTCCAATGCTGTTATGCTAGGAACAAGGAATACGTGTACACTGCTTATATCATTGCCTTATTTCATGGTTAGGGGAATGGGTCGCTAATGTTCCTTGGGTCTGCCAGAAAACTTTATTGTGTGTCTAGATTTATCAACACCATACCCGTTGGGTTTCATTGGCAAACATCGGAGACATGAATCGCTACGGACTTTCTTCCCACATCAAGCTGACACGCCGGGATATGACTGAAATACTGTTCACTCAGTTGGATACACGGACCGTTTGAGATGCGCAACAATATTTACAATTGAAGGAGACCGGCAGAATGGCAAAAGTTAATTACAGGAAGACGGAAGACAAATTTCTGAATTCAGTGAAACCTCATTAACTCGAAGGCCTAGATATATACCTATCCCTACATTAATAATGTATCAATACATCTGTACAATGAAATAGCCTTCTCGTCCTGACAAAGGAGTTATGCCTTCTTGGTAAAATGTCATACCTTCCATTTGGCGTTGGAGCTTTAGTCGTATTATTAGTCGTATGCCATGATCTTTGATACCTCAACTCTCTCCTCTTCAGAAACGGAAAGAAATATTTTTAGAACAGTCTCTCGTGCCTTGTTTGGCATTGAGGAAATTAATAAAATAAAAGAAATTAAATGACCCTTTAATGTGAGCGATTTTTTTAATGAAACGCTATTAGATTTTGTTTTTATTAAATACAGTTGAACACTGTTGTCCCAGGTTCGAAGGGACTTGAGAGAATTCAAAAACAGATTCTAAACGTCATACTAGACGTCAATCACAACACCAGGATAATGCTGTCACTAATGAAAAACAGTATTGAAAGGTTAAAAACGTTATGTATTGTTACCGTTGCGATGAACTCCTAACGTCATCTCCACAATTGCTTCCTTTAACTGTATAGGGCGGTCGGGTAGCCTAGTGGTTAAAGCGTTCGCTCGTTACGCCGAAGACCCGGGTTCCATTCCCGACATGGGTACAATGTGTTAAGCCCATTTCTGGTGTCCTCCGCCGTGATATTGCTGGAATATTGCTAGAAAAACGGCGTAAAACCATGCTCACTCACTCATTTAACTGTATACGTCATGGGTGATCGTCGAAACGCATTGGTATCAAATATGGATACTTACTTTTCTGGTTCCGAAGAATAAAGGCGTAATACATCCTAACTCCCCAGAGGCACATTTTTCCTAATGCTTTACATATAAATCAATACCCTGTCAAAACGAAACGTTCAGTTACGGCAAATGAAATGTGGTTCCTTTCAAGTGTAATCAAACATCGTTCACAACTCCTGTGATTGCATCTCTGGTACTTGTAGTATACGTGAGATTAGGTACAGTTTAGAAACACCCGAAATATATCAGGTAGTATTAGGTTGGTTATATTATAATGTCCGCGAGGTGGCAGTCCTTTGGGGAAAATAATGCAAAACATATTCAGCAAGCAGAGCATTGTGTTGTTTTTAACTGACTAAATAAATCACTTCATGGCGTTTGGGGTCCCTGAGATGCTCCACTGACCTGATGAGCTCATTCTTACTGATCACAGCTGACATGAAAGCTAAACGTGCTTGTGACTGGTCCCTAACTTGTGAGGATATTTCCGTTGAATTGGGGCATGAAGCGATTCATTGATACGAGGTTATTTGTGCCTTTGATGGTTTAGTTAGTGTCAATATATGTTTTGAGAACTGTTAACATGTCCAGTGTCATTATCTTTGATTGAAGCACCTGACACCAATAACCCTGCAATGAAGTGTCACGGAATCAGATTATTTGGAATCAACCAGAATCCACGCAAAAGACCATGAGTGAGTGAGGTTATTTCAACGCCGATTTCACAGTATTCCAGTTATATCACGGCGTGTCAGTTTAATGTGGGATGAAAGCGGGAAGAGATGCAGGCCTCAGACGATTACCACTTCGGTGAAACCCACCAGCACTGGTATTGCGCTGATAAACCAAGAAATTTAATCAGGGAGGCACTGAAATGAAACGGACGACCATGGTTTCCAGGTTCCTGGCACGTGTAAAGGACGTAACTCTGCACAGTAAATTGCAGCGATTTGAACACCCGTGCTCACCCTTTCTGATTATGA